CCGCTTTTTAAAAAACGAATTGGAGGTCTGTGGCGACAAGTCCAGTGGTGGCACTATTTTCCCAGCAGCCGCAGGTGCTCACTTTGTGTCTCCGTCACATGTTGGTCATTCTCACAATATTTCAAGTCTCCATAATGCTATTGCACTTATCAGACTATGGTATGAGGGGGTTTCAAAAGTTCACGGGAATTTTTCAGTATCTTTTAATTCCATTTTCACTTGAACTTTTTGAAGCTCCCTCACACATAGACAATACATATAACTGTTAACATGCATTGGGAAACAAAAGAAATACATGCAATTCATTCTTAAAAAACTAAAAGTCACATGATTGTAGTGGTCTGGAATCTCTGGAGTTGGTTTGGATATGTCAAGTTCCTAGAACTTGGGTGACTCAGGGCAGACACGAGATGTGAGTCAGCCACTCTGACATAGCAATTGAGGTCTGGTCCCCAGGAAAAAGCTCAAGTTTATTGCTGCCAAGGAAGACCATATTTCCCCAGGTAACACTTGGTCCTCAAATGAGGCCTCCAGATACCCCCAAGTTAATCCCTCCAGGTAAGACCCCCTAAGTAACATCTCTGAGAAATAACCCAGGTGGTTGTCTGTAGGAAAGGTTATGCTGCCTGGCAAAACCTCCAAGACTTCCCAGCAGGTAAAGGGCCCACCCCCTTGCCCATCCATCCCTTTCAAGTAAGGACCTCAGGGCTTCTTCCCAGGTTAAAAAAAACGAAAAAGAAAAGAAAACTCCATGCAAGTCACCAGATATTTCTCCCCAAAATGACTCCAAGTAAGTCCCCAGGTAACTTACTTGCCCGGATGGAGAACACCACTCCAGGTAACCCTGCGGGGAGAGGCTTTGGCTGTCTACCGGAGTCTCCTCCCTAGTTGCATCCCAGGGAAGAACCCGAGAACACTACACCTGGGGCACCCGCTACGCCTCAGCAGGTCGCCTTAGCGGCTAGGGTGAGGGGCCCGGGGCATGCCCATAGGCGCCTCTCTTCACGCCGCTCGGACGTCTGCAGCGACCCGAGGACCGGCAACACAAGGTCCGCCTGGCGATGGGCGTGGGGCTCCGGGCAGACGTGTGGGCCACGTTCCAGCAGCGCTTTGGCCCCATTCGGATCTGGGAGTTCTACGGTTCCACCGAGGGCAACTGCGGCTTCGTCAACTACGTGGGGCGGTGCGGGGCCCTGGGCAAGATAAGCTACCTCCTCCGAGTGAGTAGGGGGATTGGCGGGGGTCGGGGGCCGATCCTAGGTGGGGCCCAGCTCTCCGCCTCGGCTAACGGCTCTCCGCCCTCGGCCTCAGTTGCTGACCCCGTTTGAGCTCCTGCGGTTTGACCCGGAGACCGTGGAGCCCTTGCGGGACGACCGTGGCTTGTGCATCCCCGTGGAGCCAGGTGTGGCGTCGGGACCTTCCCCGGGCGGGATGCGGGTGGGCTGGGGCGCCCCCGGCCATGGACAGTACCTCACCTCGGTCGTTGTGGCTGCGGTCCCCCAGGGGAGGCGGGGCTGCTGGTCAGCCGGGTGACGAAGCACACGCCCTTCCTCGGCTACCGCGGCCCCCGGGAGCACACGGAACGCAAGCTGATACGGAACGTGAAGCGCACGGGTGACGTTTACTTCAACTCCGGGGACGTGCTGGCCATGGACCACGAGGGTTTCCTCTACTTCCGCGACCGCCTCGGAGACACCTTCCGGTCTCAGGCGGGATCCGGGGGCCGGGCTGGGGGGCGGGCTTCCGGTGTCAGGACGGGTCCGCAGGACTTTCGGATGCTCGGCGCGCCTTCCCGCTCCTGGGAATCCGGGAGCGCGAGGCCCTGGGTGCGCAGGATCCCCTCTCAGGGGAGGGGGCATCGTGGGGGCGTGATCGCGGGGATCCTGGGGAGAGCCGGCTTCCGATCGCTTAGCTGCTGGGTCCTGCCCGTTCCCAGTGGTATGGCCCGAACCAATAGCTTCGCCCTCGTATAGGTGGAAGGGGGAGAACGTGTCCACCCGGGAAGTGGAGAACGTGTTGTTAAACGTGGATTTTCTGCAGGATGTGAACGTCTACGGAGTGTCTGTGCCAGGTGCGGGGGGGTTCCCTCATTTCAACCCTTTAATAACCTCGTTTTCCCCATATTATGGGTGGGGGAAATGCGGGGCACCAGGGATGTAGACTTACCTAGTGGGTCAGTGATCCGGTGGGACTGGACCGGGCAGGAGGGTCACTCATGTGCCCCACGGAGTACGTGCAAATGAGGCGGGTTCGAGACTAAAGGGACCACAGTCACTGGTCTATCTCCTAGGGTGTGAGGGCAAAGTGGGCATGGCTGCTGTCCAGTTGGCCCCGGACAAAGTGTTTGATGGGCAACAGCTGTACCAATATGTCCAGACTTGGCTACCTGCCTATGCTGCCCCCCATTTCATCCGAATTCAGGTGAGCCCGGGCAGCTGGAGGTGGTGGGTGGAGTTGCTGTAATCACAGAGATCCACAAGCAAGGTTTTTTTTTTTCCTTTTTCTCTGTCACTATCTCTGCAGGATGCTCTAGAAACCACGGGCACCTTCAAACTAGTGAAGTTTCAGCTGGTGCGTGAGGGCTTCAACGTGGGCACCATCACAGACCCCCTGTTCATACTGAACCGTCAGGCCAAGGCCTTCCAGCCACTGACGCCAGACATTTATGAAGCAGTGTGCACTGGAACCTGGAGACTCTGACTGCTGGGTGCACCCATGAGACAAAGAACAAGGCATCACGCCGACCTCTGCCCTTTGCCTGCACAGGATCAGCGTGCATCCCTGAAGAGCCACATGCCCTGCCCCGCTGTGTGGGATGAGGACCCTGAACCTAGGGACAGAGGGAGAATAAAGGGGTACACAGCTGTGTGTATGGAAGAAGTAAAGTATGCACACGAGTTTTAGGGTACAAAAGAGACTCCATCTCAAATGTAATTCCGAGGGAACATTTATTAAGTTGAAGGAAGTCATTAGCATGAGGTCAAAATGGCATCCAAGGCTTTGTTGAGATGCAAAATTATAAAATGGCATGGGAGGGCAAAAGAAGCTCTCAGAAGCATGACTGGTGGCAGATCAGTACATGACAGTTACAGGTGCAACTGTTACAGAAGCAGAAACAGGACCATGATTGGGTCATGAACATTGTTCTCAACTTGTGGGTCTTGACTCCTTTGGGGGTCAAATGACCCTTTCACAGGGGTTGCCCGATTCATAGCAGTAGAAAAATTAGAGTGAAATAGCAACAAAAATAATTTTATGGTTGGGGGGGCGTGTTACCACAACATGAGGAACTGTATTAAAGGGTCGCAGCATTAGGAAGGTTGAGAGCCACTGGTTTCCAGGATTGGTCCAGGGCCTTCCAAACCATGACAGACAGCGCATGAGGCATGATGATTCGACTCCTGTAAAGTGACCTCCATCAAGGCTACAGCTAGGCTAACCCTTCAGAGGAAGAGTGCCCTTCCCCCGCTGGCGTGGGGGTGGAAGCATTCTTCTCTAAGGCACTCTGAGGGCGAGATGGTCTACACCCCTGGTCATGATCAAAAGAACCCAATGGGCCCTAATCCATGTGGGGACTCTTGCAAATGGATTTTGGGCTGTCACTGCCATCCTTAGTCTTGCAAACCGGGGTGCTCAGAATTCAAACTCCAATACACTTGCAGCACGGCCCCCCTTATTCCAAGAACTAAAACCTGTCTGGAGCTGGGGCTTGGGCAGAGGGGCTATCTGGGAAAAGCCAGGGCTGTGAGGGGTATCTAGTCAGCTTCTAGACCCCAGGGTGGAGATATGAAATCTCTGATTAGTGTTGTTGAGGGGCCTGGCATAGGCCAGGGGATGTTTGTGACCTGGGTTTTAGGGGAGGCCCGGTAAATGAACAGGAGGTAAGAGACTTTTGACCAAGGAAAATGGACTTGAGAGTTTAGGGGCAAGGCATGTGGCATGGAGCAGAGACCTGGGTGTGGTGCACACCCTATTCAGGAATGAGAGGAATTTCCCCGGGAATTGGGGGGTGATACACAGGATGCCCTGGTGGTGCAGTCGTTAAAGTGCTTCACTACTAACTGGAAAGTCAGTGGTTCCAACTACCTGCTGCGCCTGGAGAGAAAGATCAAGCGGAGTTTCGATCAACGTTACAGCCTTGGAAACCCTACAGGGGGAGTTCTTTTCTTTCCTATGGGGGCTCTGAGTTGGAATCACTTGCTGGCGCTGGGTTTGACAGTCACCAGTCCCCTTGGGAAAGTCCATCGCTATTTCCTGAGCACGTCCTAGGGCACTGTGGGAGCTACAGGCAAGCAGCGAGCCTGTTGGGAGCCGTTTGCATCAACACAGGCTCTGAATGCTCTGTGGGGATTGTGTCACAGCGAAGGGACTGTTGACTAGGGTGGCGAAGGAAGATCACTCTTGAGAGCCCTGGGAGAGTCCGCACTGAGGTTCAGGAGTAAGGGACGGCATGTGAGCAAACACCAAGCACTCTCAGAATCCGTCCATATTGTCCGTAGGGCAGAAGTTGGGTCCATTGCATTGTGGGAGTCACTAGCAGGAGCGCGGAGGAACCAATACCTCTGGGAAATGGAGTATTTGTAAGCTGGCGCTGAGGAACAGAAGTCCAGGCATCACGTACAGCAACAGAAAGCGTTGGGGCAGATTTGGTAGTGCGCCAACTGGCGGAGTCCCTTGTGGTTCGTTGGGCACCTGGTGTGGTGAAGGTGACAACTACGCTGGGACCGTGCTCAATCCTCAAAGGACTGAATCGAGTTTGCCTGTAGCCTAAGAAAACCCTCCAAACTGCATGGAGTCAGTGCAGACTCACAGTGCGTCCCTGTGAGTCTCTGAGACTGTTTAAAAGCCCAGTTTCCCTCAGCAGAGTGGCTGGTGCTTTCAGACGACTGACCATGCCAATCGCAGCCCAACGAGTAACCACGACACCACCAGGGCCACTGGTATAAGAATCTGCGCTGGACGATACCTGAGCTAGGCCAGTGATGATGGAGAAATCATTCTGACTCAGCAACCCTACCCTACCCATAGGGCTCCCAAGGCTGTAAACCTTCACAGAGAAGCCCAGGTGGCACCGCGCTTATAAAGCTTAGCTAGTAAAGAGAGGTGGCATTGGGACCCACCAACTGAAAGTCACCAGTGGAACCACAGCACAAAATTGTGGTAATCTACTTCCATGAAAATCACAGCCAGAACCATGGGGTGTTCTACTCTGCCCTACAGGGTCACTTTGAATCGGAACTATGGCAATGAATTGCTTTTAAAAAAAATCTTTATAGAAAAAAATTCCTGTGATTACTGTTACCATTTGCTTTTCTTTTTTCTCCCCACCAAAGGTGTTTGAAAAGCCCTTCCTGATAAAGTTCTGATAGAACTTGGGTCAGGGTCCCCTGCAGTCTAGCCTTCTTCCCCTTCACATAGTAGGCCTTCAGGCTGTGTTCTCCACAGGGACCCTGGTGGAGGAGATTCGTGCAAAGACAACAGTCTATCATTCCTGCTTCTCCTTGGTGCCCCTTAGGTCTGCCCACTGCCAGCTGAGGGACCCATGCTGGAACCTGGCAGCAAAGGCGAAGTTGGTGCACTCCCCACCATCCTCCAGGGGTCCTGCGCCAATACACAATAAATAAAAAATGTCCCAGTTAGGATGACTGACTTCTAGATGCTATGGGACAGAGTAGAACTGCCCTGTACTTTCCAAGACTAATCTTTCAGGAACCAAACCTCTACATCTTTCTCCCTCAGAGGTGCTGGTGGGTTCCAACCAAATTTGGGTTCGCAGCTGAGCAGTTAGCCACTGGGTCATTAGGCTTCCTCCACACACAAGAGGTCCTTGTTAAGGTCTTTGGTTGCTGGGACAGAGACCAACTAGAATCCTGGAAGGTTTGGCTAAAACAAGTGGGTACAGTGGCCTAGTCCTCTGGCCACTTTGTGTGACAATCCTCCCAGACTGGCCAGGTCCCGCTCTGAGCCTCTGGGATGCCACACTCTGTTCCAGAAGGCAGTCAGAGCCCAGATGCCTCTTGTCCTTGCACATACTGTGCTTGGAATGGGCATTAAATCACTGTTATTCTCTTGGTAGGGACTGCTGTGCTCTAGGGGTGCCCAGCAACCTTCACTGTTAGGTGAAGTCCTGTCACTATTTCCTACCAGACCAAGGTAGCACCTGAGATGTGGACAGATGAAATCTATTCAGTCAACAAATTACTTACCAAATGTAGAGCGTTAGGTACCCCCCAAAAAATGAACCACACTGGGTGGAACAGAGCTTTGTTAGTACCAATTCTTCCCATTAGGTGAGCACTGAGCAATTCACCCTGAGTTAGTGCACCCAGTGGCATCACCTGGGAAGTTTCTCTCTGGTCACAGTGAATTTTTTCATGAAAACAGTTTCACTCGAACCTTGTTTTTTGTGATGGCCAATTTAAGAGAACAGCTTTTGGCTGTGAAATTTTGTTTCCGCTTGGGAAAAATGCCGCAGAAACTGTTGTGATGTTGAACACAGATTACAAGGACAGCTCTATGGGAAGAACTCAAGCAAAGAAAAGGTTTACTCATTTCAAAAAAGGTGAAATGTTGATTGATGTCAAACCTCATTGTGGGCAACCATCAACTTCCCCAACGAAAATATTGACAAAATTTGTGCACTTGTGCTTGAAGACCAACAACAGACCATTGAAGAGATGGGGAAGTTATCTGAACTATCTCGGAGCTGGGGTCAGGGAATTTTAACAGAAGATTTGGGAATGAGCAGGGTTGCTGGGAAATTTGTGCCTCAGGTTCTGAATTTTCAGGAAAAAGAGCACTGACTAGAAACATGCTTGAAAGAACAGCTCTGAAGCAACCCAGATTTTCCCCCCAAGGTCACTACTGACGATGAGACATGGGATATTCCTACAACCCCCTAAAGCAAGCATCAAGCCAGTGGAAGATGCCATCATCTGTGGGATGCAAAAGGGCTTCCCCCCAGATTGTCTCCCCCAAATATATGCCAAACCTAAGATGTGGTTTGCTAGACATGGTAAGAAACTATACACTTGGAGGTCAACACAAGCTTGTCAGAGGTTATTCTCGCTAAGGGTTATCAGCCATTTAGCAATCAGACTGTAGTCTGTCCCACCCTAAGTAGGGCCCACTCCCTTCTGGTAATAGTGGATTATTTCTTTGAAGGAGAGCCTAGAGGCAAGGTCAAACCCACTCAAGGATGATCAAGGTTAGGCTGCCTTCTTGAGTCTAGGATCCGCCCATCTAGTCACCTGTGTACCCCTAGCCCCTTCCCCTTCCTATTACATGTACAACCCTAGCTCATCCCCTTCCTGTGATGAGTATGCCTGTTGTACAGCCCCTTCCTGTAATGTGTGTGGTTATCTATAAGCACACCCCTAAGTATATATAGGCCTTGGTCAGAAATAAAGGAGCAGACACTCTCTTCGCCCCCCCCTGTCCTCCTGCTCTCTGAACGCACCTGGCTGCTGAGATCATGGCCGTCCAGGAGGTGAGCATGCTACCATAAGATGTGCCTGACTCCTTTATTTCACTCCTACCTCTCCTATGTTCCATGACTTTACTATGTTCTCTATGTATTATAACCTTACAATTGTTCCTGCGGACCCCCCTGGATGTCGAGGCTGGTCTACCCTAACGATCGTCACTTCACCCCAAAAAAAGTTTGTCAAATGAAAACAAAGATCAATGTGTTTTTTGATGTGATGGGGAGGGTGCATTTGGGGCTCCTTTCCACCAGGTCCAACTGTTAATCAAGCTTCCTATGTAGAGGTTCTGAAAAGATTGAGTAATAGTGAGCCACAAAAAAGGCCTGATTTGTGGCAGACGGGGGACTGGTTTGCCATCGTGACAATGCGCCTGCTCACGCAGTCGTCTCAGTGTGCTGGTTCTTGGCAAAAAACCGCCTGCCTCTCTTGCCCCACGCACCTTTACTCACCTGACCTCACTCCGTGTGACTTTGTTTCTGCGAATGAAGAGGGACGTGAAAGGACAGCAACTTGCCGATGGAGAGGACAAAAATTTGCCAATGGAGAAGAGGTAAAGAAAAATATGAGGGAAGTGCAGTCAGCCATTCAAACAGATGAGTTTGAAAACTGTTTCTGTAAATGGAGTCGCAGATTGGCCAAATGTATTAAGTGTAGTGGAGAGTACTTTGAATGTGATAAGCTGATTTTGTAAAAATAAATTTAAATACATAGCTTTGAAAAAAAATTCTGTTTTGTTTTTGGGGGGTGCCCCCTCGTAGGTATGTATGTATATGTGTGTGTATACTGAATTCAAGGAAATGGTTCACACCATTTTGGAGGCTGGCAAGTGTCAGGCTGGTGCCTTCTCCTGAAGCGCGAGGTCTCAGGGCTGATGGGCTCCAGCTCTGCAGGTCAGATGTCTGGCTGCTGACCTGCATCCCGAGAATTCTAGGTCAGATGATCATGAGTGGGATGTAGAACCCGGAGGGAGGGCACCTTGCTGGAACATCCACACACACATTTTGGCAGGCCAGACCCAAAAGGAAGCTAACTCCCTTTTCAACTGAATGCTGCCAAGACTGGATCTCATGCTGCATGTAATTGCATTATGGATGAGTAGTTGATCCAGGGTCAGCCAAACTAAGACTCATGTTGTTGTTAGGGGCCATAAAGGTGTCAGTTCCGACCCACAAGGACTTGCTGCACAACAGCACAGAACTAAGAGTAATAGCCCCGCCAACGTGATAACCATACCCTACCCCTTTGTCCCCTTGACATATCTTCAACCACACATAATCTCTAAATAAAGACAATTATAAAGTCATACTTGTGCCTGACATTACCATCATACATCCATCCATGAGAAAATGCACTAGCCTCATTTACGTCTTATTTAAGGAATGGGATAGAGGAGGGAAGAAAATTAAAGTACTTCACACACACACACACACACACTACTCATAAAAATTAGTCTTTAATTCTGCCCCTGGTGACGTGATTGTAACTGATATTTAGAGTTACCTTCTTCTATTACCCATTCTGTATCTCCTTTGCCTTCAAAAATCACCTTAGCCAGTGATGGCCCCTTGCCTACTGGAGTGGCCTAAGCATTTTTGCCTGAGGGGCCTGGGCCATTAGTAGCCATGCCAGAATTAGGCTGCTTTAGTTTTCCATTGACTTTAATCACAGGATACAGCATACCAAGAGACATCTCAAGGCAAGGGTGGGGAACCTTTTTTCTGCTAAGAGCCATTTGGGGACTTAAAATATCATTCAAGGGCCAACTGGTCCTCTTTGGTGAAGACCCTCAACAAAATGGATTGACACAAAGGCTGCAACAATGGGGTCAAGCACAGGAACGTGAGGCTCCCTGGTAACAAACACAGAGCTCTGGAAGAGAAACGGCTCACCTGCATGTGGCAGCCGGGCAAGGCACCGAGTTGCACGTTTCTCCTGATGGACGTGGTTGAAGGAGCTGACAAATTCAAAACCAGCAGGTCAGAAGGCAGGCAGCTGGCTCATGTCTCCAAACCAAAGTTCAATTGAGAAGCAGTAAGTTCAGTCTTCAGAATAAGACAAAGCGCGGCTGGAACTTGAGGACAGGCCCCAGCCCCAGGAAAGCCTCCTTTGGCCCGACTGGAGGTGCAGCATAGTGTGAGATCTCGTCATGGAGGTAACTGTGTTACTTCCGAAGAGCTACGGGTCCAGCATCGGTCCGGTCACCGAGAATCTCAGTCTAGCTATGTTGACACAAAACATGTTAAGCATCTTTAATGTGTATTAACTCACGTGGTAGAAGGGAATTTGCAATGTGACTAAGGCTCCTGGGAGGGGGACACGGTCCTGGATGATCACGTGGGCTGTGGGCATGTGGCGCTGAGAGCCTCATCCAAGCCTGGCCGATAGCTCCCTTCATGCTCTGAGCCCCTTCTCTTGGTCGTCATTCTTGTTCACCCCACACCTGGAGGGGGACTCTCCAGTTGTCCTCCTCAGCAGAACAAGGCATTAGGAGGGGGAGGGGGAGGGGAGTGTGTGTGTGTGTGTGTTGGGGGGGATCTGGACAAAGCTGTCCCAGAGCCCCAGCTGCCAGGTCTTCTGATTGCCCAGGAGAAGTCAGAAGCTAAGATGTTCACCCAGAAGCTCCTGGTTTTAAAAGCAGATGGGGGAACTACAAAAATCTAAAATGCCCTGGGGGCCATGAGGACCACAGTGACCCCCAGCAGCCTGTGGCCCCCAGCCGGCAGAAGCCACCCTGGGCTTCCTCTTCTCCAGAGAGGCACTGACGCTGCCTCTGAGACAGGTCCAAGTCCAACCACTTCCTGGGGGACCAGGAAGGCCCGTTCTGAGAGTCCTGGGCTTGATCTGGCGGGGCTCCCACTGCGGGGGCTGGCACTCAGGATACCCTAGGGCCACCAGTTAGCAGTGGATTCACACTCAGGCCCATTCCAAAAGCTGGGGGGAGGCTTCCTTTCCTTAGGTTCGATAGGGCCTGGGGCAGGGACCCCCAGGACCCTTGGTTCACTCTGCTATCTCTAGAGTCCCCTGGCCCTAGGCCGAGAAGCTGAGTCAGGCTGGGGGCTGTCCAGGGCCTTCTCCATCGGCTCATGGGGCCTCAGGCCGGTGGCTCTTCCTGTGGATGACCAGCTGGGACTTCCAGTCAAAGCCTCGGCCACAGTCCCCACAAATGTGGCGCAGCTGGCCGACGTGGCTCTTCCGATGGATGACCAGCTGCGACTTCCAGCTGAAGCTGCGCCCGCACTCCTCACATGGGAAGATGTGGGGCCCCACAGGTAGGCACCGAGGTGGCTCTCGGGGGCTCAGGAGCGGCCCCACAGCAGCCCCCGTGGCCAACTGCCCGCCTGTGTGCATGCGCTGGTGGATGATGAACACAGACTTCCAGGCGAAGGTCCGGCCGCATTGCTCACACGTGTAGGGCTTCCTGCGCTGCGCTGCCGGCCCCGAGCCAGGGGACGCTGCCGGGGCCAGCACGCCGGGCGCCTGAAAGAGCTGGGTTTCTTCGCAGCAGGGCGGTGCCTCCTGGGGGCTCCCCCCTTCATCTCCTGGAGGAGGTGACAGCATGGCCCGTGAGCCTCTCTCCCCTCTGCCGGACAGTCCCCTGCCTGGGGCCCAGGACTAGCCCTCAGCACTGACCTGGGAGAAGTCCTGGGCCGCCTCCATGCCACCCCTGCGGAAGCTCCGGCTGGGCCTCAGTCTGTAACTCTGGCCTGGGTGGTGGCATCCCTGGTAGGCCACAGCAGTCGGTCAAGGGGTCAGGACGGGATTAATGAAGAGGAGAAGTACAGGGGTGACACTTAGGCGAGGGAGGGCTCGAAGTGTAACAGGGTGGGGATGGGGGACACTTGTGAAGAGCAAAGGGCAAGGCTAGCTGGATGACCCCACCCCAGGCACTTCTGGACCGGAGCATGCAGGGAGCAGCCGGGGCAGCCAGGGGCCCAGGTCCTCACCCAGGGAGACCACCTTCCCATACTTCTCAAGCATCGCCTCCCAGTACAGCTCCTTCTGCGATGGGTCCAGCAGCCCCCAGTCCTCCTGCAGGGACACGGCCGGGAACCTGTCTGCATCTGTCCACCTGCTGTATGCAGATCACCAAGCGCCAGCCCAGTGCTGGGTGAGCTGAGGGTCTTCAGGCTTTTCTTTGCGGGGGGAGGGGGGGGAAGGGGACGGGGGGACGGACCCCTCTAAGTTCTACACTGGGTGTCCCTGAGGTCAGAAGTCTTCCTAATCGCACATACAGACCACCAGCCTGTCCCTCCACCCTTCAGCCTCTAGGGCCAACATCACTGGCAACCCATTCAAATTCTGAGCAGCAGAGAGCACAAGACCCACCAGTCACAGGGCCTGGAGGGCTGGCAGGGGACAGGGTAGCCACCAGGGGCATCCTGCTTCCACCAGGAAATGCTCACCTGAATCCTGGCAGGTAGGAAGGATGCAGAGGCTGGCTTCTGATGATCAAGGCGCCTCTCCAGGGACTGGGCTGGCATCAGAGGACCCAGGGGAACTGGGAAGCAAGGTTGACACACAGGGTCAGGAGCTGCCACAGGAGCCTGTGTTGGTGCTGTTGCCTTGGCCTCCACCCCCAGCAAGCAGGACCACCACCCCTGCCAGCCACTTGCCCTGTGCTCCTGCTACCCGGGACCCAGAGATGCACGCACTGCCACCAGTGTGCCCCGCCCCCCCTCACCCATCTCCTGTCCATCAGCATCTGGCTCTTCCTTCACGCTGCAGCTGAGCTGGGCAGGACTGTCCATCTGGGCAAGCTGTGGCCCCTCCACAGGGGCTGTCCCCGAGGTCTCCGCTGCCCCCGAGGGGAGGAGGGGCCCTGAGGACCCCTCAGTCTTCTGGGCTGCTGGGAGCACCTCTCGCCCCAGAACATGAGCTGTGATCTGAGGAGGGAGAGGCACGTCTTGGAGTTCCAGCCTGCCTTTGTGCCTTTCAAAAACCTCTCTGCAAGGCTGGCCCCGGCTGGCCCCACTCACCCAGCCCAGCAGCCGCCTGGGGTCATGCTGCAGCCCTTCGACGAGGGCCACGGCCTCCTCAGGGCTGCCTGGCTGCTGCTCCCGCACCCAGGCCTGGATCTCGGGGGGCAGAGCACCCAGGAACTGTTCCAGCACCAGCAGCTCCAGCATCTGCTCCTTGGAGTGCACCTCGGGCCGCAGCCACTGCCGGCACAGCTCCCGCAGCCGGACCAGGGCCTCGAGGGGCCCTGCTGCCTCCTGGTAGCGGAAGGTGCGGAAGCTGAGCCGTGCAGCCTCGAGCTCCTCCAGGGTGGCTGTGGGGTCCACGGGGGACAGGTGAAGGGGGCCTGGTGGGGATGGCATGCTTGCGTGGAACATCCGGTTGGATCTGCCAGCCAGGACCTGCAGAAAAGAGTGGTTGTGGCTGGGAATCCGCCTAGCAAGGGTACTGGCTGGACAGAGGACCCTGGCCTGGGGGTGGACATGGAAACCTCCCAGACATAGGAGTCACAGGAGCCGAGTCAAGCTAGGATGTGAGAGCAGAGGAAGCCTTGGGGGACGACTGAAAGGGGGTGCCAGGGGAATAGCAATGTGTTTGCTATAAGGGGGAGGGGCCGATGGTGGGTGAAGGTTAGGTAGGGGAGATTCAGGTTCACCAGGAGAATTGAAGAGGAGGTGGGGGGAAGGAGGTGATGCCTGTCCTTGTGGCCTCTAAGATATTCCACCCAAGGGGGGGACCAGGGGCTGCAGGGCCAGGTGCATGAAGGGGGCTAGGAGCATGACAAATCTGAGCATGAGTGTTCCCCTGGCCCAGAGAGGGGTAGGGGTGGGACTCACCCACCTAGTAGGTTTCACCTTAGTTGGGTCTATGCTTCTCAAGGCGGGGGGCATTCCATTTTTAACTCCCCTCCACTGACACTACACTAGGAAGTGAGGATGTGGCCAGACTAGGGGCAACCCTGGGCCTGTAACCTCTGGGCTGTTTCTAGGGGACACCGAAAAAGGGCAGGGAGTGATTTAGGACCATTGGGAGAACCCATTGGGCTGGAACTAGGGAATGCCATTGCTGGGCTCAGTCACCTAGTCAAGTCTTCAAATACTGTCCTTTTGCCCTGACACTGACCATTTATTGCCACTATCGTTTCTGAGCAAACCAACAGATTTAATCATATTAGATCCGTGTTTTACCATCAGTGTTGTACTTCTCCAACATTTGACACACCGTGTTTTTATGTACAGACCTGTGTGTCTTTCCGTCTCAGTGTCAATAGATCTGTGTGGCCGTTGTGTGTGAGGAATAATTCTTAGACTTGCCTGACTCATCTACTGGCAACATCCTAGAATATTCATTTTCTAGGTAGTTACCAGTTCTGGAACTAAGTTTTGTAAACAAGTGAGACAATTTCTTTAGCATTCTGTAATTTGTTTGGAAATTTTTGATTAACTGAATCAGCAATTGCTTTAGTTTTTTGTGTTTTTTTTTAAACAGAATTCTGGCTATTCAACTAACTCAGACAAACCACTGTTAAAGGAGCAATTCAGCACATGCACCGACAATTGTTTGACCCTTGAATAACTCTGGGGTGGGAGACAGGGGAGGTAGGAGCGCCATTGCCCCCTCACAAAACACCTGCACGTAACTTTGGACTTCTGCCAGACTTTACTAATACCCTGTGTTGACTGAAGCCGTACTGGTAACAGTCAACATGGATTTTGCATGTTATATTCTGAATTTTTAAAGTGCTTATCTTTTTCCTTCAAGGCTCAGGGGTTCGTAGCTTTATAGAGAGAGGCAGCTGATCACAAACCTGATTACATCTGTGTGATATGGTAAAGTTAGCCTGTCCCTTCCTGCCTTAGATCTTGGAATGTGCTTTGACGTCGTCCTTCGTGGCATTTCCCCCCCAAGAAAACACTTCCAAAAACCTGCTCCTGCGATCTCCTTTCTCCTTAACCATTTTCCGAATGGCACTGGGAACTTGTCCGCTGTCTCTTGGTCGGCACTAGCTGCTGCTTCAATTATCTTGACACTTTTTAAGCCAAATCTCTTTCTTTTTTTTCTTCTTCTTTTTTTCATTTTTTTTTTTCAAATCTCTTTCTAAAATTACCAGACCATCCTTTACTGGCATTAATCTCTCCAGCTTTAGATCGTTCACCTTCTTGTTGCTTTAAGTTGTTGTATGCAGACTTGGCCTTTTCCAGAGTCGTGTTAAGAGGCCATGGGGTCTGTCTTTCTGATAGCAGTCCTTCACCCACACAAAGCTGCCTTTTCAGTGCGAGAGAAAAAGGCATTTCGCAGAGAGTACAGGTGTTCGTGTGTGCTGGCATACTGCAGCAAGGACCTCACGGATTTCCTTTTCTCTTTCTTATGACGGTCTTACGCTGGATTTACCTATCTTGAAATGGCAGGTAACTGCAGCTGCAACTTTTTGTTACAATGTCCTGACTTTGGTGTGCTCCCTGGGACCTCTGCTAGCGCCTCTCATGGCACTTGGCATGGGTGTCACGGTGGGATTCCAGATGGAAGGGGCTGCATGTAACACGATGAGAAACACTGAGGAAGGATTTTGGAAGATCACTTTTTTTTAACTTTAATAAGTAAGTTACTGGAAAGACGAACTGCTCGCACCTAGATAGATGCTTTGTGCCACTCGGCATTTTCAGTGGTCCTTGCAGTATGTGAGCTCACCTCAATAGCAACGGGAGGCAGCTATGAAATTAGTACAACCTACAGTACCGACTGCAGTTAGTTTGAGGCAGTTATAATTTAACATTAATTTTTACAATGGTTTTCAACTCTGTCAACTGCAAATGGCACCATGTATGGTCTGCAAGTGTTTGTGTACACAAGTTTGGATAAAATATAACTTGCATAGATTTGGATACAATTTACAGTAGTAAATGATAAAATAGGCTACTATGTATTCATGCTATACCTTTTACTTAATTTTTTTGTTTTGTTATGTCTAGGCTATGTGGCTCTGTGGCTCGTCTACAAGTTCTTCCAAATTCCACAAGGCTCCAAAAATTTCCCAATATATTTATTGAAAAAAAAAATCCACATATTAGTAGGCCTGTTCAGTTCAAAACCTAGATTACTCAAGGGTCAAGTGTATCTAATTTCACCTTAAGGCATTCTGAAACGGCAACTCCGTCTAACGTGGAGCACGCCCGACTCTTTGCTCAACCGTCCTTGTCTTCTTGCTTTGCACTGCATCGTCATCCTCGGAATGGGGACGCTTCAGGTGCCGCTCTAAACTTGCTGCATGCTCTCCAACCATGTCTGTGTTGCAAACTTTACAGATGCTTTTATCTTCAATCTTTTCGTACTTGAAAAACTCTTGACATAGATTTTCTCTGGCTCTTCCCATACTAGAATTCAAAGAATAAGATACAATGTTAACATTAGTGTATAGTTTATACTCAGACTGTATTACACAACAGGGAGCCCGGCCCTGGGTCACAGTGGGTTACTCTCCACAGGGATAGCAGTCTGCAGTAACACACGCTCCAAGGGAGCAAGAGAAGGGGTTTCTGTTGTTCTTGTGAAGACTGAGAGTCTCGGAAAGCCACAGGGACAGTTCTAGGATATAAAAAGACTTTTCCCCAGCTTCTCCCCCCAAATATATGTCAGACCTAGGACACTGCTTGCAACTAATGGTAAATGATTGTCAAGTTAGGTCACTGAAGGCACCAGCTATCCGAAGCAAGCAGCCTATTGTCTGTCACTCCCTACTGTGAGGGACAGTGGATTGCTTCCCCTGAAAGCTCAGAATAAATCAAGTCTCCAGCTCAAGGACAATCAAGGTTAGGCCACCATCATGAATCTAGGATCCATCCATCTTGTCACATGTGTACCCTTAATCCCTCCTCTTCCTATAGGGTTTACATCCCTAGAATGTCCCCCTCCCATGACTGTATTACCTAAAGTACAACCCCTTCCTGTGACATGTCTTTACCTGTAATCAGGGTGCTTGCACACTCCCAAAAGATATATAAGCCTTGGTTAAAAATAAATTGCTCTCTCTCCTGGCCCGCCCACCCCCCTGCATCCCCATGTGGCCCACCAAGGGCTGAAGTGAGCATGCTACCATGAAATGTGTCTGACTCCTTCATTTTACTTTCTCTCCTATTCTCTTATTCTCTACAACTTTACTATAGTCTTTACATAGCTTGACCATACAATTGCGCCTACGGGACTGTGACCGTGTGAGGGGCTGGTTTCCCCCACAGGGCTGCTGTGAGTTAGAATCTGTGACATGACCCTGACATTGTTTGTTTACATCACACTACAGTAAAGAGGCATTTCAGATTTCGATGACATAGAGAGAATCCGAAACCCAGTGCCATACGGATCTCAACCCAAAGTGATCTGATCTAGGGTTTCTGAGGCTTATGGTAAATCTTTGTAGGAGCAAAAATAAGCTCCTGCAGGCAGTTGATGATTTTGAACCTCTGATTTCATGGTTGGTAATCTAATGCTTATCTGATAGCACCAAGGCTCCTCATAAAGAAAAGAAAATGCTTAAAAATCTCTGTAAAACTGATTTAAATTCACTACACATGAAAAAGTGTATACTTCTGTCAACAGAGATCTTCTAGACATTAAAGCAGGGCTTCGAAGAGGAGGTGGAATGAAGGATGTTGTTGATGTCAGATAGATCTTGAATAAAAGCAAAGATATTTACATGTATTTAACTGAGCATGCAAAGGGTTCAACTACGTGGATTATAATAAATTATACAAAATATTGCAAAGAATGGGAATACCAGACACTTAACTGTAGTCAGTAGAACCTGGATATAGACAAAGAGGCAGTTGTCTTAGGCTGGGTTCTCTACAGAGCAAAACCATGAAGCATATGTATGCATGTATGTACTCAAAGACATATTATCTCAAGAAAATGGCTCACACAATTGTAGAAGATAGCAACTTCCAAGTCTGTGGGTCAGATGTCATATTGAAGACTACCCCTGACTCAAGTAACTTCAGGGGCTGGGAAAGCCAGGATTGGCAGGTCAGATGGCAGGATTCTGCCTACAGAGTGACTGAATCCCAGGTCTACAAGTAAAGATTCCCAGGATTGGCAGGCAATATAGCAGGTCACTGGCTCAACCCAAAGAACCGAAGGTCAGATCCAGAGCGGCACACAGCACAAAAGCGTTGACAGAACACCCTCACGCATTGAGAGGTGATCACAGCCTGAGCGACCTCCTTCCTATGCTGAAGCTCATCACGGGAGCTCTAACTGCCAAGTCGCTGAGAATTATGGCCCCGCCACATGGACCAATGTTAACTATCACAGTTCTTTGAATAAAGCAAAGGGATACTGCATGATTTATTATCAGGATAAGTGTGGTCAAGGGTTAAACTCTTTCATCATACTTACTCAATGTGTATACTGGGCAAATAATCCTGCAAATTGATTAGAGGAAAAAGAATGTGGTATCAAGATGGGAGATTAGACTCATTCACCACCTGGGATATGCATCTGACACAACTTTGCAGGGTGAAAGTAGAGAGGGATTGAGGTATATTGATGAAGATTGGTGACTACAGCCTTCAGTATGGATTATGCCTCAACATAAATAAAGGGAAAATCCTCAAAACTGGATATCTAACATCGTGATAGTCAAGAGAAAATACTGAAGCTGTCAAGGATTTCATTTCACTCGGATCCATAATCAGAAAGCACTAGTCACGGGTTGCACTGGGATCACGTGCTGCAAACAAACTCTTTAAAGTGTTAAAAACCAATGATGGCACTTAGATGAATAAAGTGTGCCTGACCCAAGACACAGTATTTTTAATCACCTCATGTGCAAACAAAATCTGGACAATAAAGAAGATCCAAGAAAACTGAGGTCTTTGAATTATGGTGGATAAAGGACAAAGGACACTGACTATACTATGGACTGCCAGAAGATTCATCATCAAATGTGTTGGGACAAATACGGCCAGAATGTTCTTTTGACAGGAGGATGGCAAGACTTGGTCTCACTTACTCTGGACATACTGTTAGGCAGAGCCAGTCCCGGAAAGAGCACATCATATTTGGAACAAGTTCTGTGAAAAAGAGGAAGGCCTTCAAAGAGATGGACTGACCCAATGACTGCGACAATGGGCTCAAACCTGGCACCCAGGGTCTATGAGTGGGAATCGAGTTGGAAGGCTCCTGGTAACAACAGCCATGTATCATCATTGGACAATCGAGAATAACTTTGATTTTACATTCGAGGGGGTTGATAACTTCGTGTGATGACTTCTTTTGTTCAAAATCCCATCTTACACGTAGCCACCAGTTGTACACGGAGCCATCGTCTTTTGAGGATAAAAAACCTAATTCCAAAATGATGACATCCATTATTTTCAGTGAAATAAAGGGATATCACAATTGAAACCTAATTTTCCTCCCTGCTAATGTCATTTGTGAACATTTTTATTTGTGAAGTAAATAGTAGTTTAAACATTAGATCAATTTGTAAACCCCAAAACGAAACCCACTGCCACGGAGTCGATTCCAACACATACTGATTTTACATAAAGTTTCCGAAGATGTCATAAATCATTACTGGCGCAGTCAGCTTCGAGTTCTGCAGAAGGGCCGGTGGGTTTCAATCGTAGCCCTTGGGTTATCAGTGCAAACCTTACCGAATGAGAGTCAGTGTGTAGCACTTTAGAATCCATATTGTGAACAGAAATGGAAAAATTTTTTTCATGCGATTTTCGAGTTCTGGGATTTAAACATCACAGTGCCATACGTACGTTGGAAACGCTCAGACTCACCTGACAGATTGCCGTGGTAACTGCAGAGCTCGGTGCAGTACAGACTCCTGACTGGACTAGAGTGTCCTCTGCCGCCAGGCGTTCCTCATAGCTTCGGGAGGCTGGACCCCGTCACCGAGAGGAGGGAAGCGCCTCAGACGGGCCTGCCAATCGTCTGGAGTCCGCAATAACTGAGTCGTAGCGCCGATGTCGGAGGGCCACTTCCGGGAAAATGGCGCCTAACCAGCTCGGCCCCCAAGTTCTACGTACACTTGCGCAAATCAAGACCTCTCGACCGTTGCCCGGGCAACACAACCCTGGCCAATCAGAAGCCTGTCTCGAACACTATGTCTCCAGCAGCCGGAGCCGGACTACGTTTCCCATGAGCCTGAGGGGCCGGCCTCCGTCCGGGAGAGCGTCTTTTCCGAAGCTCCTCATGTTTCTGGTGTTCCATGCCCGACAGAACCTGCAGAGTCCCGGTACTTAACGGGTTCACAACCTCACTGGCGGTCGCTCTTTTCACTAGAATTCGAGGGCTAGTACTAACCACTTACTAAGTTTAAAGGTGGGATAGCGCATGGGTACAAAGTCCGTTTCTATTGGCAAATAAGGTGACGAGGGGAGGGGAAACCTGCTGGCCTATCCAATCAAAATTGGTGCTTCGTCCAGGCCCCACCCCTAGAAGACCCAAGGCTTATTCCCCCAGCTCCCAGGCATCAGCTTGGTAGCTGTTAGTTTATCCACCAGGCTCTGGTGTTGCCACGGAAACAGCTGCAGCAGCGCCCTGCTCTGGAGCCCAATGTGGGCGCCTTATAGTTGAGTCACCTCCAGGTGGGGTGTCAGTTCTGGTCCGAGGACTTTGTGTACCCTGACACGCGGCTGCTGTACTTCATTGACCTCCATAGCGCGCAGTGTGGACACACGAGACAACAAACAGGGACTAGGATGGGTGCTTGTTTCCTAAGAAGAAAATTCCTTCCTTAGTTACGCCGGAGACCGCCTAAACTTTTCGGACCACTTTAAATCACAAACTGGTATTATAAAATGATAGGGTATACAACTGTTCTTAATACGATTGAATTATTGAATTGTATGATATATGGATGAAGTGCTAATAAAACTTAAAAAGCGATAAAGGTAGTTAAAAAGTCAACATGAAAAAAATCAACATGGGTTTCTTGAATTGACTTTGGAAAACAATTCAAATGTGAACTCACAACTCAGCCACCACTGTTAATACTTGGGATGCATTTGATTTTTACCCTTTAAATTTGCATACTCCTTTACCGGTAAGAACTTAATTTTGGAATTTACAGTGAATGTGAAATGACAGGCAGCACAGGCCCTTCTGTGCAAGAAAAACCCGCGAGAAAATCATCGGGAACAGACATGTAGTAAGGATCAGAATGCCGCTGGGACTTAATTGTTCAATTGCCAAAATGTCTGAGACTGTATTGGTCACAGGAAGAGTGGGCAGCCCCCATCCTTCTCTCAGACACTCTACCACCTCCCTCCAGAATTTTAAAGCGCTATGACTGGTCAGCTGACTTTGAGATGAAGGCATGGAGATTGTCTAGCTGGGGCCGCAAACCACAAGTGTTCTTAAAAAGTGGGAGGCGGAAGCAGGAGAGAAACTGACCCCATGTGAGGAAAACTGGCTACTGCTGGTCTTCAAGACGGAGGAAGATCTCTAGGAGGTAAAAAGGCAGGAAAAGTATTCTCCCTATAAAAAAAATGTTGGCTGCATTATCACCTCCCTTGCCTGACTTCACAGGAGTGGTTTTGGTGGGGATTTGAGAATAGCTTCAGCCCAAGGCTGATTCCTATGAAGTGAAGGTTAGACATACCTCCACGCCCCACCCTTTTTACCAATTTTCTGACACCAGCTGTCCCTGAATGGCACTATTTATTTGCTGGGTTCAATAATCCTTCACAATGGCCACCCAAACTTTACAGCACCTACTCGGTTTGGGGGTTTATTAAGGAATTAACAAGTTATAATTCAAGTTCCGGAATGTCCCTTCCATCATGACAGCTCCTCCATGTGTGCAGGTATGACCCTAGATCTTTTCCTCAGTGCCCTTGGCATGTGCCCGACTCAGGAAAGTGTTAATGTACTCAGAAGGCAACCCACTCCACAGTAAACCTCTGGCTGTAGGTGCTCAGTCTTGCTCACTAAGTCTGCATGCCCATGTTAGCTGTCGTGCACCATAGAGGGTCTGCTGCTCTGAGCTCCTGCCAGCCTCCTGGTTCTACTGCTGCTCCATCCCTGTCAATGCTTCCATCTGACAGATCCTCTCATGGTAAAGCTCTGTCTCCTAGGTCTAGGAGGTTCTCAGCACGGAGTCAAAGGATGGACTCAGTTCCTAGTTCTTTTCTTGATAACCCTAACCTCCCATTTCCGGGATGAACTCATTCAAGTCTACGAGATGATAACACTGACAGATGCCATCATTAGAGTTCCATACACTTTATTTCTATGGTCCTACCTCAAAAGGGTCTACTACTGGAGATGTTTAACAGAAGAAACATTGAAAGAGCTCACTCGCTCATGCCAAGACGTTTAAAAGAAAGCTACCTAGCCAACCAAATGTAAGAGAACCAAATTTGTGCCCATTCCAAAGGAAAGACGAACAGAGTGCAGACATTACCAAATATTATCAGTACCACATGCAAGCAATATTTGAATTAAAAATGGCTGCAGTAATAGATCAACAGTGAACTGCCAGAAACTCATGCCAGATTCACAAGACATGCAATGAGCAGTGTCGCTGTGATGTCAAACGGTTCTTGGCTGAACGATGTCTGTCTGTCTTTTATTGAATGCAAAGGTATTTAACTGATGGATCACCACAATTGTGGGTACCACTGTAAAGCATGGGAATTCAGGAACACTTTCCATGCCCTCAGACGCAGCAGCCAGGTAGACAAATGGTGGACTGCATTGGGACTGCAGTCGAGAGCCTGCTGAGCGTTAAAAAGCAAAGATGCCACCTGGAGGAATGACTTTCACCTGCCTCAAGCAATAGTACTTTCAATGAGCTCATATGAAAGCTGGACAACAAATAAGGAAGGCAGAATGAAGAATTATCGATGGCTGAGTTGTGGTGTTGGTGACGAATACGGAATACATCATGAACGGAGAAAAGAACACTCTGTGGCTGCAGGTGTTGGAAGTGCAGACTGCACGCTCCTTAGATGGGAAGAAAGCAAGACTGCATTTTACCTACAGTGGACATATCACGAGGAGGACGTCATCCCAGGAGAAAGCTCCCTGCTGGGTGAAAGAGATCAGTGACAGGAAGCCCTTCAGTGAGTGTATGGGCCACTGGGCTCAAACAGGGCAACTGTGAGGACGGTGCAAGACTGGGCAGTGCTTCATTCTATTGTACACGGACCACTATCAATTGGAACTGACTTGGTGATACCCAAGAACCTCCGCGGTCCCCTGAGCCTTATTTACATTACCAACGGGCTGCCCAGTCCCCCTTGGTGGGCCCCACCCAAACATTGTACAGTAGCCACAAAACTTGTGGCCTACTCAGGCAGAAGGGCCATTTCCATTCACTGGACCACATTTCCCTGGGCCCCCATGTTCCTTGTGACTCAAAAGTCTCACTTGGGGAAACTTTTCTTAAGAAAATAGAGTTCCCCAGAGATGCATACACACGAGTGTCATTCATAGCTTATTATGCCATGGGGAAGAGTGGGGAACTCTCTGGGCTCAGCAGACTTAATGACACAGACCAGAAAATGGAAGTTTCACCCAGGCCTTTAAAAACATTTTTAATAACCTAGGGGAAGAAGTGAAAGGATCGTAATTCAAAATGACACCTACTAAGCTAATAAGGAACTATATTTTAAAAAGGTTCCTGCCTGGAATTAACATTAGAAAACGAAAGTAGAAGCCATTTTCATATTTTTTTCCTCTTGAACATTTCAAAATTTTCTAATTGAGCAACAACTGGTAAACATTAAAAACTTTTATTTCAAAACTGCTCTCCGCCCTGTGTGACACCATGCCTTCACCACCATCCTCACCTTCCCTGAACAATGGGTCCACAATGGTTTTCATGTCCTAATCCTACAGCCTGTGAATAAATTGCAATATTTGGCAAAAGGGAATTTGCAGATATGATTAAGGATCCCTAAACAGGGAGATTATTCTGAATTATCATGTGGACTGTGGGAATGTAAGCCTGATCCAAAGGTGCTGATGGCCTCATCTAAACCTGCCCATAGCACCCTTCACACCTTGGCCCTCCTTTTGGTGGCCTATGCAGGACTCCGTGCTAGCAAGACGACAATGAGTAAGAAGGCACATGGGCGAGAGGGGGGAGGGGGCTGGCTGGGGACTTCAGGAGGTGTGTGTGTGTGTGTGTGTGTGTGTAGGGCAGAGGTCTGTCCTTTCTCCTAAGCATAGCAACTCTCCAGCTCCAGCTGCGAGATCTTCGGACTTTTCCAGGAGACGTCAGATTGAGACTCTTCATCCCCAAAGGGCTGGCTTTGAAAGCAGGCAGAGCTTCAGAACTCCAAAGAGCCCCCTGAGGGCCATGAGGAGCGGAGGCACGTGGAGCAGCCTGTGGCTCCCAAGCTCAGCAGGAGCAAATCCTCGGCCGTCTTACCTAAAGAGGAGCTGGCTTCCCTTCAAAGGCTCCTCCGGTCTTTGACACAGACGGAAGATCAGCCACTTTTTGGGGGTGCCAAGGCTTGGGATTTACCCTGGGGCCACCAGCCAGCAGCAGATCCAAACTCAGGCTCATTCCAAGGCAGGAGCTAGAGGGGAGGCAAACGCTTCCTTTCCTCAGGTACCCCCAACAGTGACCTCTGGTTCACTCCACTGTCTCTAGAGCCTCCTGGCCCCAGGCCGAGGAGCTGAGTCAGGCTGGGGGCTGTGCAAGGCCTTCTCCATCGGCTCATGGAGCCTCAGGCCGGTGGCTCTTCCTGTGGATGACCAGCTGGGACTTCCAGTCAAAGCCTCGGCCACAGTCCCTGCAAAAGTGGCGCCTCTGGCCGACGTGACTCTTGCAGTGGATGACCAGCTGCGACTTCCAGCTGAAGCTGCGCCCGCACTCCTCGCACGGGTAACTGCAGGGGCCTGTCGGCGGTGCACACCACGGGTGGAGAGGCGGTTCTTGGGGGTGTGGTGGCAGCCTCTCACTGGCCCCTGTGGCCCGTTGCCCACCGGCGTGTGTCCGCCGGTGGATGACGAATACCGACTTCCAGTTGAAGCCCAGGCCGCACTGTTTGCACGTGTAAGGCTTCCCGTGCAGCACTCCCAGCGCCGGCTCAGGCCCAGGCCTGGGGGACATGGCCCTGCCTGGGACACCAGGCACCTGTGGAATTGGGATACACATGGCAGCTGGGGCCCGCAGTGGCCAGGTCTCTGTGCAGCCAGGAGGTGCCTCGCGGGGGCTCCGACCCTCGTCTCCTGGGGAAGGGTAGAGGGGAGCCTGTGAGCTTGGCGCCGTGGGCTGGTCCCCACCATGTGTGGAGGCGCGGCCGGGACGAGGAGCAGTGCTCACCAGGGCAGACGCCTGCACAGCTTCCTTTCCATGCACATGGGACCCCTGGCTCAGCCACAGTGGGTGCCTCCGGCCTGGGGGGCGGTATCCCTGGCAGAGTAGGGCAGAGCAATCACGCTAGGAACTCACACGGGGAGTAGGTGGGGTGTGGGGGCTGAGGGAGTTGACACCTGGGCTGGTCTTCTGGAGATGCCAGGTAGCCTCTGGTGGAGGAGATGAAGACCCCACGCAGATACTTTCTGGGGATGGTGAGTGCTCCCGCCCCCCAGAGTAGTGGTGAGACCTGGGTAAGAGATGCAGAGGCCAGGGGGGCCCAGGTCCTCACCCAAGGAGACCACCGTCCCATACTTCTCAAGCATCGTGTCCCAGTACAGCTCCTTCTGCGATGGGTCCAGCAGCCCCCACTCCTCCTGCAGGGGCATGACCACGTCAGTCTGTAGCAACCCACCCAGTGGCTCCCCCCTTAGTTTATTTGGCCCAGTTGTGACGCCTTCATACCTGGAGGTGAGGGCCGGTTACCTGAGCATCCCTCCCAGCATAAGGATGAAGTCAAGGTGACAGTGTGCCAGGCAGAGGGCATGTAGGCATGTAGCTAGAGCCGGGGCAGGGAACTTCCTGCACGTCTCCTTGGCCTTGCTGCCTGCCCCTCCCCATTGGCTGCTCCCACCCAAGGTCTTAACCCAATGGTCTGAAGCTGAAGACTCATGGGTGGGCTTCAGGGAAGGATAGTCCACCGATCACCCTCCTCTGAACAGGGTGTATTATATCAAGAGGGAACAGCAGAGGACTTGCAGAGACCTGAGACCCCCAAACAAGTAAGCCATCACTTGTCAAACCACTGGCTTGAGGAAAAAAAAGGTGGGGGGAGGAACCCCTTTCACACTGAAGCTCTTGAAGCCCCATGAAGAAATACAAGGCGCCTGGGGAGGAGGGACCCGGACTGGCCACATGTAGGGGCTCCCAGGAACGTGACACCCATCACAACTCTGCTTTAGCCTTCAGCCAAGCACCCACAATGCTATCATCACAGCTGGCCTGGCTGGCCTGTAAGGAATTTCCCAGGAGGCCAGTGTCCTGTGTTGGCCTCATGTGATCAGCAGATAGGGCTGGCTCCTGGAGCTCAAGAATCACCATTATGTTGAGGAACCCTGTCCTGTTCCCAAGGTACACGCAACGTTCAGACCATGGTAGGAACGGTGAGCCTTCAGGCTTCTCTTTGCAGGAGGTGGGTGGGGGTTGATCTACACTGGGTGTCCCTGAGGTCAGAAGTCTTCCTAATCGCACATACAGACCACCAGCCTGTCCCTCCACCCTTCAGCCTCTAGGGCCAACATCACTGGCAACCCATTCAAATTCTGAGCAGCAGAGAGCACAAGACCCACCAGTCACAGGGCCTGGAGGGCTGGCAGGGGACAGGGTAGCCACCAGGGGCATCCTGCTTCCACCAGGAAATGCTCACCTGAATCCTGGCAGGTAGGAAGGATGCAGAGGCTGGCTTCTGATGATCAAGGCGCCTCTCCAGGGACTGGGCTGGCATCAGAGGACCCAGGGGAACTGGGAAGCAAGGTTGACACACAGGGTCAGGAGCTGCCATAGGAGCCTGTGTTGGTGCTGTTGCCTTGGCCTCCACCCCCAGCAAGCAGGACCACCACCCCTGCCAGTCACTTGCCCTGTGCTCCTGCTACCCGGGACCCAGAGATGCACGCACTGCCACCAGTGTGCCCTGCCCCCCCTCACCCATCTCCTGTCCATCAGCATCTGGCTCTTCCTTCACGCTGCAGCTGAGCTGGGCAGGACTGTCCATCTGGGCAAGCTGTGGCCCCTCCACAGGGGCTGTCCCCGAGGTCTCCGCTGCCCCCGAGGGGAGGAGGGGCCCTGAGGACCCCTCAGTCTTCTGGGCTGCTGGGAGCACCTCTCGCCCCAGAACATGAGCTGTGATCTGAGGAGGGAGAGGCACGTCTTGGAGTTCCAGCCTGCCTTTGTGCCTTTCAAAAACCTCTCTGCAAGGCTGGCCCCGGCTGGCCCCACTCACCCAGCCCAGCAGCCGCCTGGGGTCATGCTGCAGCCCTTCGACGAGGGCCACGGCCTCCTCAGGGCTGCCTGGCTGCTGCTCCCGCACCCAGGCCTGGATCTCGGGGGGCAGAGCACCCAGGAACTGTTCCAGCACCAGCAGCTCCAGCATCTGCTCCTTGGAGTGCACCTCGGGCCGCAGCCACTGCCGGCACAGCTCCCGCAGCCGGACCAGGGCCTCGAGGGGCCCCGCTGCCTCCTGGTAGCGGAAGGTGCGGAAGCTGAGCCGTGCAGCCTCGAGCTCCTCCAGGGTGGCTGTGGGGTCCACGGGGGACAGGTGAAGGGGGCCTGGTGGGGATGGCATGCTTGCGTGGAACATCCGGTTGGATCTGCCAGCCAGGACCTGCAGAAAAGAGTGGTTGTGGCTGGGAATCCGCCTAGCAAGGGTACTGGCTGGACAGAGGACCCTGGCCTGGGGGTGGACATGGAAACCTCCCAGACATAGGAGTCACAGGAGCCGAGTCAAGCTAGGATGTGAGAGCAGAGGAAGCCTTGGGGGACGACTGAAAGGGGGTGCCAGGGGAATAGCAATGTGTTTGCTATAAGGGGGAGGGGCCGATGGTGGGTGAAGGTTAGGTAGGGGAGATTCAGGTTCACCAGGAGAATTGAAGAGGAGGTGGGGGGAAGGAGGTGATGCCTGTCCTTGTGGCCTCTAAGATATTCCACCCAAGGGGGGGACCAGGGGCTGCAGGGCCAGGTGCATGAAGGGGGCTAGGAGCATGACAAATCTGAGCATGAGTGTTCCCCTGGCCCAGAGAGGGGTAGGGGTGGGACTCACCCACCTAGTAGGTTTCACCTTAGTTGGGTCTATGCTTCTCAAGGCGGGGGGCATTCCATTTTTAACTCCCCTCCACTGACACTACACTAGGAAGTGAGGATGTGGCCAGACTAGGGGCAACCCTGGGCCTGTAACCTCTGGGCTGTTTCTAGGGGACACCGAAAAAGGGCAGGGAGTGATTTAGGACCATTGGGAGAACCCATTGGGCTGGAACTAGGGAATGCCATTGCTGGGCTCAGTCACCTAGTCAAGTCTTCAAATACTGTCCTTTTGCCCTGACACTGACCATTTATTGCCACTATCGTTTCTGAGCAAACCAACAGATTTAATCATATTAGATCCGTGTTTTACCATCAGTGTTGTACTTCTCCAACATTTGACACACCGTGTTTTTATGTACAGACCTGTGTGTCTTTCCGTCTCAGTGTCAATAGATCTGTGTGGCCGTTGTGTGTGAGGAATAATTCTTAGACTTGCCTGACTCATCTACTGGCAACATCCTAGAATATTCATTTTCTAGGTAGTTACCAGTTCTGGAACTAAGTTTTGTAAACAAGTGAGACAATTTCTTTAGCATTCTGTAATTTGTTTGGAAATTTTTGATTAACTGAATCAGCAATTGCTTTAGTTTTTTGTGTTTTTTTTTAAACAGAATTCTGGCTATTCAACTAACTCAGACAAACCACTGTTAAAGGAGCAATTCAGCACATGCACCGACAATTGTTTGACCCTTGAATAACTCTGGGGTGGGAGACAGGGGAGGTAGGAGCGCCATTGCCCCCTCACAAAACACCTGCACGTAACTTTGGACTTCTGCCAGACTTTACTAATACCCTGTGTTGACTGAAGCCGTACTGGTAACAGTCAACATGGATTTTGCATGTTATATTCTGAATTTTTAAAGTGCTTATCTTTTTCCTTCAAGGCTCAGGGGTTCGTAGCTTTATAGAGAGAGGCAGCTGATCACAAACCTGATTACATCTGTGTGATATGGTAAAGTTAGCCTGTCCCTTCCTGCCTTAGATCTTGGAATGTGCTTTGACGTCGTCCTTCGTGGCATTTCCCCCCCAAGAAAACACTTCCAAAAACCTGCTCCTGCGATCTCCTTTCTCCTTAACCATTTTCCGAATGGCACTGGGAACTTGTCCGCTGTCTCTTGGTCGGCACTAGCTGCTGCTTCAATTATCTTGACACTTTTTAAGCCAAATCTCTTTCTTTTTTTTCTTCTTCTTTTTTTCATTTTTTTTTTTCAAATCTCTTTCTAAAATTACCAGACCATCCTTTACTGGCATTAATCTCTCCAGCTTTAGATCGTTCACCTTCTTGTTGCTTTAAGTTGTTGTATGCAGACTTGGCCTTTTCCAGAGTCGTGTTAAGAGGCCATGGGGTCTGTCTTTCTGATAGCAGTCCTTCACCCACACAAAGCTGCCTTTTCAGTGCGAGAGAAAAAGGCATTTCGCAGAGAGTACAGGTGTTCGTGTGTGCTGGCATACTGCAGCAAGGACCTCACGGATTTCCTTTTCTCTTTCTTATGACGGTCTTACGCTGGATTTACCTATCTTGAAATGGCAGGTAACTGCAGCTGCAACTTTTTGTTACAATGTCCTGACTTTGGTGTGCTCCCTGGGACCTCTGCTAGCGCCTCTCATGGCACTTGGCATGGGTGTCACGGTGGGATTCCAGATGGAAGGGGCTGCATGTAACACGATGAGAAACACTGAGGAAGGATTTTGGAAGATCACTTTTTTTTAACTTTAATAAGTAAGTTACTGGAAAGACGAACTGCTCGCACCTAGATAGATGCTTTGTGCCACTCGGCATTTTCAGTGGTCCTTGCAGTATGTGAGCTCACCTCAATAGCAACGGGAGGCAGCTATGAAATTAGTACAACCTACAGTACCGACTGCAGTTAGTTTGAGGCAGTTATAATTTAACATTAATTTTTACAATGGTTTTCAACTCTGTCAACTGCAAATGGCACCATGTATGGTCTGCAAGTGTTTGTGTACACAAGTTTGGATAAAATATAACTTGCATAGATTTGGATACAATTTACAGTAGTAAATGATAAAATAGGCTACTATGTATTCATGCTATACCTTTTACTTAATTTTTTTGTTTTGTTATGTCTAGGCTATGTGGCTCTGTGGCTCGTCTACAAGTTCTTCCAAATTCCACAAGGCTCCAAAAACTTCCCAATATATTTATTGAAAAAAAAAATCCACATATTAGTAGGCCTGTTCAGTTCAAAACCTAGATTACTCAAGGGTCAAGTGTATCTAATTTCACCTTAAGGCATTCTGAAACGGCAACTCCGTCTAACGTGGAGCACGCCCGACTCTTTGCTCAACCGTCCTTGTCTTCTTGCTTTGCACTGCATCGTCATCCTCGGAATGGGGACGCTTCAGGTGCCGCTCTAAACTTGCTGCATGCTCTCCAACCATGTCTGTGTTGCAAACTTTACAGATGCTTTTATCTTCAATCTTTTCGTACTTGAAAAACTCTTGACATAGATTTTCTCTGGCTCTTCCCATACTAGAATTCAAAGAATAAGATACAATGTTAACATTAGTGTATAGTTTATACTCAGACTGTATTACACAACAGGGAGCCCGGCCCTGGGTCACAGTGGGTTACTCTCCACAGGGATAGCAGTCTGCAGTAACACACGCTCCAAGGGAGCAAGAGAAGGGGTTTCTGTTGTTCTTGTGAAGACTGAGAGTCTCGGAAAGCCACAGGGACAGTTCTAGGATATAAAAAGACTTTTCCCCAGCTTCTCCCCCCAAATATATGTCAGACCTAGGACACTGCTTGCAACTAATGGTAAATGATTGTCAAGTTAGGTCACTGAAGGCACCAGCTATCCGAAGCAAGCAGCCTATTGTCTGTCACTCCCTACTGTGAGGGACAGTGGATTGCTTCCCCTGAAAGCTCAGAATAAATCAAGTCTCCAGCTCAAGGACAATCAAGGTTAGGCCACCATCATGAATCTAGGATCCATCCATCTTGTCACATGTGTACCCTTAATCCCTCCTCTTCCTATAGGGTTTACATCCCTAGAATGTCCCCCTCCCATGACTGTATTACCTAAAGTACAACCCCTTCCTGTGACATGTCTTTACCTGTAATCAGGGTGCTTGCACACTCCCAAAAGATATATAAGCCTTGGTTAAAAATAAATTGCTCTCTCTCCTGGCCCGCCCACCCCCCTGCATCCCCATGTGGCCCACCAAGGGCTGAAGTGAGCATGCTACCATGAAATGTGTCTGACTCCTTCATTTTACTTTCTCTCCTATTCTCTTATTCTCTACAACTTTACTATAGTCTTTACATAGCTTGACCATACAATTGCGCCTACGGGACTGTGACCGTGTGAGGGGCTGGTTTCCCCCACAGGGCTGCTGTGAGTTAGAATCTGTGACATGACCCTGACATTGTTTGTTTACATCACACTACAGTAAAGAGGCATTTCAGATTTCGATGACATAGAGAGAATCCGAAACCCAGTGCCATACGGATCTCAACCCAAAGTGATCTGATCTAGGGTTTCTGAGGCTTATGGTAAATCTTTGTAGGAGCAAAAATAAGCTCCTGCAGGCAGTTGATGATTTTGAACCTCTGATTTCATGGTTGGTAATCTAATGCTTATCTGATAGCACCAAGGCTCCTCATAAAGAAAAGAAAATGCTTAAAAATCTCTGTAAAACTGATTTAAATTCACTACACATGAAAAAGTGTATACTTCTGTCAACAGAGATCTTCTAGACATTAAAGCAGGGCTTCGAAGAGGAGGTGGAATGAAGGATGTTGTTGATGTCAGATAGATCTTGAATAAAAGCAAAGATATTTACATGTATTTAACTGAGCATGCAAAGGGTTCAACTACGTGGATTATAATAAATTATACAAAATATTGCAAAGAATGGGAATACCAGACACTTAACTGTAGTCAGTAGAACCTGGATATAGACAAAGAGGCAGTTGTCTTAGGCTGGGTTCTCTACAGAGCAAAACCATGAAGCATATGTATGCATGTATGTACTCAAAGACATATTATCTCAAGAAAATGGCTCACACAATTGTAGAAGATAGCAACTTCCAAGTCTGTGGGTCAGATGTCATATTGAAGACTACCCCTGACTCAAGTAACTTCAGGGGCTGGGAAAGCCAGGATTGGCAGGTCAGATGGCAGGATTCTGCCTACAGAGTGACTGAATCCCAGGTCTACAAGTAAAGATTCCCAGGATTGGCAGGCAATATAGCAGGTCACTGGCTCAACCCAAAGAACCGAAGGTCAGATCCAGAGCGGCACACAGCACAAAAGC